TATTTAAGTTGATTCTATATGTCTATACGAATTTTAGATTTAAATTTACTGTAACCAATCATTATGTAAGTTTGCGATTTAACCTAAAGAATATAGTATTTAGTTATGTTAGTTTAAACTGTGTTGTAGACAAATTTTATACAATTTGTGTAAATACGAATCGACTAGCTGTACGTTATTTATGTTGATCCTCAAATCAATTTGCAATAAGAATTTCCTTCAAAGGTCTATATAAACTTGAAATCCCTTTTGCCAACGTGAAAAACAATTTATAATGTAACAGTTCAGTTATACAAGAGTTATGAAATAGAAGATCGTGAATCTCTGACGAGGACTTCTAGACCAGTTAAGAGCGTTCAGTGAGCACAATGGTATATTTGTAACGTAATGTCAAACTGTTTTACTTATCACACAGTTAGTGTGTTGGAGAGAGGTAAGTTTGTAATGCAATATAAACTTTGAAAGGATAGTTTGAATACAAACACAATTTTGCAATTCATACATTTTATTCACATGTACTCAAACGTACTCAGTTGCCAAAAAGGATAAATCACTGGCAAATTGTGCCTCTGAAAGATCGTGCTTTTGGAAACTATACAGTTTTTTTTTCATGCAAATTGTCTTAGATAATATGAAAATATAATTGGAACTGTGGCTACTGATCTAAAAAAATAAAATCTTTTATTGTTTCACGAACCAACATAATATTATTAGCTAAAATTTAATACAATAAATAAACTTATTTTTATTACTGTTTAAGATAAGGAAGCCACCGAGGTGCTTATTTTAACCCACATTCAAAATTAAGTATGTGTGTAGAATGAAGTGAGCTTTATTTCTCGTTATGCTTTAAGCACTAGCCTAGGGTTGTATTCCACATTACTTCAGGCTAGACCTAGGGGTTTGGTGGGTTTTGAACCCGGGACCTCGTAGACCGAAGTCCCGCGCTCTTACCACTAGACCAGCTCGCTCCCCGTGTGATATTAAAGATATTCAAATAGAAGCTTTCTTTAGAAATACATTGTAATATTGTTTTATATTCGTACTATTTTTATTGTCTTAATATTTGCTGTAGCATTGCATATCTTTTAAACACGAACAGTCTTATCACAATTGTCAGTGAAATTAGTTAGTGCTGAGAACACATAAATTCCTTCAAATAACTATTTACATAAATATTACCAACCTCAAAAAATATTATCGGAATTAACAGTGTTATTCCACCTATGAAAGGGCCATTCGGGGCTATAAATTATTGTTTGAGTTTGTGGTTGCAAGCCCTTTATAATGTAGATAAATTGCACTACAGCCGCCCAGAGGGTCGTCACGCCTATAGATTATAGACGACCTAACCCAAGGTTAATATATTGCATCCTACTCTTGTGGATATTCATCATATTCATACCCTCTTAAAAATAGCGAAAGTGGGTCAGAGTTTAATTTATGTCTTGGCTTGTGCTAGGTTTTGCTATATCTATCTATATATTAATAGGCAAGCATGTTTCTTTAAAACCTTTTTTCTCAGCTTGTGTGCATCGCAGGGGAAATTTACGCATACTGTTAGAAAGATATTTGCCTGTAGATGTGCAGAATCCCTTTATAAATTAAAATAGGCTAAAAAATAAGCACAAAAAACGAATTTGAAAACTTCAAAACATTAACATGGACCAACTGAGTTGCCATGATGGTGACGAAATAACAACAAAATGTAAACAGAAAATCAAAACAAATGGAAGAAATCCCAATCACATGATTTATTTACAGTGTGGGGAGAAAATAGAGAAGTATGTACATTAATTATTTTTGGTCGAGTTTCGACCACAGGACGACCACTAGTACAGTATTAATATAATGAAAAGATACATTTTAGGAAACGTTTTAAGGCTTTATCATGCAGGAAATTTACCTTACGTCTAAGCTTAACACTTATTAAGTCATGCTGCATCACAAATTAGCTGTTTACAGAAAAAGCTATGCAAGGGGTTCGTAGTTAATTTTCTCCCAAAAGAAATAAAATCGCCTAATGGCGATCAATCTCAAGGACACTATCTCAAAGATCAATCTGAAGGACACTATCTCAAAGATCAATCTGAAGGACACTATCTCAAAGATCAATCTCAAGGACCTTGATTAATCTTAAGGACCACCAGTTCATTTTTGTAGCTTTAACATTTGTCTGGTGATTTTGCAGAAGAAAAGGACAGTATTTTGTTTTTCATCATGGTTTTCATATTCTATTGCACTCCTATTGCATGTAATTTATCGTAACTGTGACTCTACACCACATTTAAATTGTTTTTAAATAATACAAAGGAGTCGATCTAATGTAAAGGTTATGTTATAATTTTGGCTTACCGGTACATAATTTTCAATTCAACTCAGAATTTCCAATTAGGTATCATTTACTAATTTAATAAACTAATTGGTGTTAATATAACCCTGAACACAGAGATAAACACACTAAATTAAATAAAAAAGGGTTAGATTACCTCTCATTACCACAGACTTAAACCAGGATGTATTAAAAAGCATATTGTGAATCCTAGGAACACCTCTTATGTTATATCGTTTATGTACTTGGAAAAGTTCATCCGTAGTTTATTATACGCAGCGGAATATTTGGATAGATAATTCACAAATAAACCCATACGAATAGTGAACATACGAAACGGAACTACAGAATAGACTCATTGAACCAAGGGATTGAAGCCACATTTCTAATCAACTATTGCAGCAATATCCATGTCTAGGTGACAGCTTCAATACAACACACAATATTATTATCATCCCTGTTTGTAAGGGATTTTACAGTGTTATAAATACCAATCAGGTTATAAAGTTAGTAACTTAAAGCAAACTATGTAATGTATACGTTAAGTTATTTTATTATTCAAGTTGATGGGAATTGATTGTTCTTGTAATAAAAAAATATTAGATTACATAGAAATTCAATGAATCGCTCAGATTATAAATTAGTTTGTGTTTGTAAATGTTGGATCGAAGGCAATCAAGTCGATAGGCTTCCATAACGTATTAGATGAATACACATATTTGTCGTTGTTTCTTTTAATAATTTACTCACATTACTAAAAATGTAAATAGACAGATAAAATACACAAAGATTTTTTTTATAATCCAGGGTATTCAGAGTAACTGTCTATATATTTTCTCCATTTAGAACTATATATTTCACTGTATTTTATTGTAAATTCCTAAATTAGGATTTAGTTTTAAACAGTCCCTTTTCTTATTTATTTCACAGCGTAATGCAGACGGCAAATAAATATACTCAACATAAACTTTAAAAATATTTATATAAACAAATTATTCGTCAATACCATAGAATATACACATTTTAACATCTTGTATTCGGAGGTTGGTTGTACATGGCATAGACATACATAATTACATTTAGTCAAGCGTCAGTCCCTTTTAACTCAGTGGTTCATGGGGATACATAGGTATATGAGTCGTTTAATAAATTTACATTACTTCGAAACGTTCCTCGTTACCATTGTTCAGCGGAGGGTAAATGTTGAGCTTTTTCCAATTAGTGGTTAAATAACAAATTACTAAATTAAATAAATAAGAGGATATCTATGCGCAAATTCCTTATTGCAATGGGGTTCAAAATATGTTTGGTAAGGAAAAACTAAAAAAAATCCAATACTCTTTTACATTTAAAAGATTATTTTTGTTTCAGACAGTTAGTAGGTGAATAAAACTATTCATTTACAATAAATGATTTTTAAAATTTTAGATCCAAACTATAAAGAGTGATTTATCTACCTCAATCCGATTTCAATCATAAGTAAAAGTAGAATTTCAAAATTCATAAAGACTCTATTTTTTTTTTTTTTTTTTTTTTTTTTTGTAGCAAAATGTAGAAATAAATCGAACACCAGAGGAGAAAAAGGAAATTGCCTTTTTAGCTAACATTCGTCATGCTGCTAGATCATAACACTTGTATTGACATCAATCGAGAATATCGGTCAGTAGGATGGGTGAAAAAGGGGTGTAACAGATAAATCCCTTATTATATTAGACTAAGTATATAAATAGATTTGACTCGTGTCATGGTAACAAAATTATTTACATCATTTCATTAATCATATCAATATTACTGCAAAATGTTTGCAGCATGAGCTGTTCAAAACAGGTTCCTTCATTAATTTCCAAAATTATAGTTATCGTATTGAATAAATAGTCTCTTGTTGGAAATGTTTGGAACATATTTACTTTGTAATCAAAATATAATTTAGCAGAAAAGTTGTCAAGTTTTATAAAAAAAACTACTCGTACACAGAAAAGTTAAATGTACGACGTATCAGTAATATTGGTATGAATAATAAATAAACAACTGATTATTAATGTTAAACTATCGTGAAACGCCCCTATCTCAAAATTTTAAGTTTTTTATCAGGGAGAATTGAATACGTCATGTTTATTCCTTGAGTACCTTTCGTGTTTATAAAATTGAATTCTCATAGGGACCATATGCTTTGAAAAACGATGTAATACTTAAAGGGATTTTAGACATTTATACTATAAAATAATTCAATAAAAATGTAGTTGGGGCGTCATATCATACATTTTTAGGATTTATGGTATGACATTAACAAATCTTCCACACAACCCCCTGATTAGAAATGCTTCAAAGTTGTGTCTTCACTATAAAAGTAGTTAAGCTTTTCTTCGAAATTTAAAACTTTGCAACACTTATTTATAAATTATTCACAGTTTTGTGTATGGATCTGTATGAGGACTTCTCAATGTTGTCACTTAGTCCTCCACAACAGCTCTAATGGTCAGGAATGTTACAGATTTATGAGAGAACTTCACAGCTCCGTTTGTGAAGCATTTCATCTCCGTTTTTTTTTTCATCTCTAATGTCTTGAATTGAAACAATCTTTGCTGTTTGATAGTATAGTATTTCACTGTTTGGTTTAAGTGTCTCATAGCACAGTTGTGTCGTTTTCAGACCGTGTGTTTATTGTTCGTCACCGAGCCATTTTCAACGATTGCTTCCTCATTCCCTTTAAAGCCAGCTGGAAAAGAACACGTTTGTTTGAAAAGATCAATTGACTAATAAACATTCAGATCCATAGGTCTAATGAACTCGTACATATTTAACTTTGCATATAGTAGTTTTCTTTTCTTTAAAAAGTAGTTCATCAAAAAACATTCCTTGTAAGATAATTTTTAAACACGGTGTTATTTTGAAACTGTACCTATGTTTTATTTACCAGGTAAATTGTAGACATTTTTCTTTGAGATTTTAAAAAGATAGCATACAAGGCGTGTTAAGGTTTTACGACTAATCCTCCAATTGATGTTGTTGGTATGGTATGGTATTTGGTTGCTAGTAGTAGGGTGGTAGTTTTTTTAACAATCAAATATTGCGAGCATTTCACATATATTATTAAATAATAATTTCCACATCACCCACAAAACCTAAATAGTAAAAAAATATAGCTTTAACTCAATTTTTTGAGTTTCTAAACGAATAACATACTTTTATTTTTGGAAGTTATTGGAGCTTTAAGTATTAAACTCACCTTCAGTTCTTTCATACGGCAAGCGTAAACGTAACTGTTTGTGGCAGTTTTCGAAATCATAAGGAAGTTAATGATAACGAGGATGATGTGCTCCTTGAGCGTTCCAAGTTTCCAGTATTCACAAAATAAACAATCCTTGCAGAAGAGCACGAAGTACGCGAACGCAGGGACCCAGCCAAAGATGACGGAGCCTAGAATCATCAGTGTGGTCACAATGGCCTTCTTGTTTACCTAAAATAAAACAAAAAAGTAGTAAATATATGTATTTGTATTATTCTCGATTCAAACATATAATCCTCCTAAATTAAGTAGGTGAGCTGCTTACCTTGATAAAGCTTAGCCATTAATAGAGATTTTCAAGAAAAGTTATAAATTGTCTGACAGGGTAATTCAGATTGTTTACTTGAAAATGTCCAGATTTAATTAAATAGCGAAAGACAACATTGAATATTTAGAATATTTTTTAAACGTGGTCTAAGAAAGTAAATTTTAGCCAACAATAAATGATCATGTAAAAAGGAATTCTTATTTTTTTCCAAAACAATGTTGATATCACCTAGTTTCGAGGGTGTCATTTTAAATCGGATTGATAATAAGTTGTACATTATATTACTATCGATAAATTTATAAATAATGAAAATGTAAAAATTACATTAATATACATTAATATACATAAAAAATAATAATGATAGTTGTATACACGTATTCCAAATTTTCTTGCAAGCCAGGGACTTGAATTTATTTAGATAAACGTACGCGTTGTTGTATGCTATTATATTTTTCAGAAATTCCTCTTTGAATGCTGTTATTACACATGATTGCAGGACAATACTATATTTGTGTAGTCTTCAATACATAAAACCCTGGTTTTAAAAACAACTTTAAAAACAACCTTAAAAACAACTGGTTGCAAAACTTTTTACCCTGGTTCGGGACCTAAGTGTGTATTCAAACATGAAATTACATAATTTTGAACACATGTGCACCAATTACTAACGACGAACTTGTTAACTATTAATAATACTGTAATTGAATTGTTAATTAACAATAGTTTAGTAACACATGGCTGATCAAAGTTCAGTGTCAAACAATCAATCCAGGTGTATTACAATAGATCAAATGTGTTACATCAAATAGGTTATGCTCCAGTGATGCATGCGACAGAAGCATTCCTTACATGGTCGCAGTCTACATTCTACAGCTAAATATCCCGTTCGCTTGTGTAGAAACAATGGGTTGCTAATTTTGTCAATAATTAGAGTGCATAGTAGTTATACAGTAGGTATCTGAGTGTTTATAAAATACTACAATACATGGATCTTCAACATTTATCCACTACTATGGATATAATATTTAAGCACCTTCTATAAGTTGTGATGTTGCTATAATATAGCAACATATATTATACAGTTGAATGAAAATTCAACTGCGTGTTTTATATTTATGGACATAAGTTTTACTCAATCATCTCACTTCTAGTTATGGATACCTACTTGACTTATAGTTATGGATACCCACCTGAATTCTAGTTATGTAAACCCACCTGACTTCTAGTTATGGATACACACCTGACTTCTAGTTACGGATACCCACCTGACTTCTAGTTATGGAGTTGCTACTTTGGTTGCGTTGATGTCTGCGATTCACACTTCCAGGCTTTGAGCATAGCTTGATGTGGTTTGTCTTTTTCCTTTTTTCAACCAATGCATATATGTGACAGTATATAAACATCATGAGTCCAAGGGTTGTAAAGAGTGGTATTGCGAAAGTCATCCGAAACTCCTTCGTTATTAGAAAACTGAAAATAAAGATACAGATAAGTAATGTAATGTGACAGAGTTAATTTGAATTTAATTATTTAGGGCTTTCATTTGATATTTAACCATTTATTTGGAGGACCTAACATATTACATGAAATAATATAGAACCAATACTGTTTATGTAAAATGGCCAATAAATATTATAATACCACCTATTTGGCTTTTGGTGTATAAGTTATAGGTTTTAATGATAATAATTTTGTTGTTAAAATGTGTTTCAATTGTTTAAAAATGCATGATGTAATTGAAAGGAAATAAGGGAATATATAGAAACCGGTTGATCGGTAACATGTGAAATAAAATCAAGGTAAACCTATAGTTATTACATGTAGGCCTATGAGGTAGTCAATATAGCTTTAGGAAAGATCACTTATTTCTTTTGGATGTTATTTAGCTTTAAATTGATTAGGAATGTGTGAATGTATTAAAGATATGAAAATATTGTTGCATAAAGCAAATCAATATAGCCTTATTTAATGTTCTGGATGTTAAAGCGATCTTTTTGAGTTTCTAGAGGTGGCTTAAAAACTTGCACAAAAACTTGAAGCACAAAAACTTGAAACATCTTAGCTCATGCAATAAACAGTGGAACTTAAAGCTATAACGATTTCCTTTCCCTATAAGGCACATAGAACGATCATTTGGAGTATCCTTCCATTGATCATCGGTCAAAGGATAACTTCCAAAAAAGATTTTATTCATACAATGTCAACAAGTGAACATATTATGCTCACCATTGTGCTTGCCATTTGGGACTGGTTTTCTAAATTTGTTGTTGGGGTTTATTATTAAAAAAATATATCTTTATTGTTTATAATGTGGATTATAAAATTCACACGTTGAATAAGGGAACAATGATTAACACTTCTAAAAGGTTTGCAAGTCATACGGTTTTAGCGAATTTCCCCTATAGGGAAAAAAACTATTATTTGTTATTTTTTTTAAAGCTATTGTAAAATAATTTGACTGAATTTTATGTTATTGTAAAAACTTTGGTAGAGTTATTTGTTTTAAATGCGTTCACAATAACAAACCAGATAAGTGGGTTAGGCGTGAAATTATAGGAGTACGTGAACAAATTACAGTAATTTTATACTTTACTGTATCCTAAAGGATCCAAACTGAATGTTATTTGCTTTAATTAGGACAATTGATTCCATCCACAACACAAGGCAAATAAACTACAAAATGAGTAAAGGTTTGCTTTTAATCATAAAAAACGTACACGTCAAAACGTTGTGTATTTTGTTCAAGTTAAGCTAATTGTCTATGTGACAAATACGACGTGACGAATTATCCCTAATCTGCAACAAAATAGCCTTGAATACCAACTGTGGATTAAAACGTCAAAATACTATTTTGTATTATATTGTTAAGCAAATTACTATAAATTGAAACATATACTTATCTTATTTATGTACTGGTCTATCTCTTCAATTTTGAAAAGAAAATCTAAAATTGATCAGTTGTTTATGAGTTATGTTGTTTTAATAAATTGACACTGTATATTATGTGTAGATCACTTGAAAGCTACCAGTCTTTTATAACTAAAGACAATTCCAATAGTCTTTCAACTACTCGAAATCTACTTGAATAAAACACATGCTTACTCAGCCGTGCATGGTTCTCCAAGCGTGTTTTCAATATAGAAAACCTTGATGAGTAACAAAGCAGAGGGAATGGTCCACAGAAGAATCGCCACACAGCGCACATTCCGTCTGGTCATATACACCGGGTATTTCAGGGGTTTCAAAATCCCCATGTAGTGGTTTCCAGCCAGCGCCGCTAGGTGGAAAATTGTCGTCAGGATCGCCCCCATCCGTAGTGTCTCGACAAGGAGAAAGAAACATGGTGTGTTGAACACCACACCAAAGCCTCTAGGGAGAAGGGTGAAGAGAACTAGACCAAGAGCGTAAAGGAAGAGACTGAATGTGTCAGCGCCTGCGAGACTCAAACTGATGTAGAGAGTAGGAAGGATCTTATTGCGGACGAAACACGCGGAGCTGATGATGACAATGTTGACGGCCAAGGACACAACGCAGAACAATATGAGGAAAGAGGTCGTAGTTATGACTATGGAGGTCTTCAAGGGGATGACGGAATGAACGGATGCGTTTGAGACTGATGCGTTGCCTGTTTCATTCAAGGTTTCTATTGCTTCCCAGCGCGACTGTTGCCATTCTTGTGAGCATCCGTCATCCATGTCTGAAACAGAGGGAATTAGGTAGTGTAATTAAAATGTTAACATGTCAAGTCTTAGTAATTTACAATGGGTTTTACTTCCTCTGGGTAAAGGTTTCCCAATTTCAATGGCATTTGTAATTCACCACTGTTACAGATTGGTTAGAAAGGTAATTGTTTGGACGTACAGAAAAATGTGAGATTAGGACAGGTAAAATAACCCAGGACAAGTATTACCCGACATGTTTGCACATGTCCTTCGTCATTGTAACAAAAGAAACTCTGGGGGTAAACACAAAAGGTGTTTAAAAGTTAAGTATTAACAGGTTCACTTCAGGTTTTACTGTCTTACAGGGTGAATATCAGTATTAAGCATCTATCCATCATATCTGCCCCAGAGGATGCCTATCACAAACTACCAAACAATTTGGAATTTTTTTGTAGAGAGTAAAATCTTGACGGGTTTATTGAAGGGGGTTAATGTATCCAGAGTGAACACTGTCAGTGTCTGAATATGAATGAAAAACTTCAATTTTGCTGCTGTGGTATTTCCATGTTTCCGGACCAAATATTTGACACAAACAAGTTTAAGTTACCTGATGTAGTCTTAAGGTCCAAGTCAAACTTGGACCATTAGGGGACATCAGGTAGTTTAACCTTTTTTATGTCTACAAATAAGCCAAGAGAGAAATTGCAAAACTGAATGTTTTGGGGGTCGAAAATAAGAAAATCCTAATTCTTATACGCATAATTTCGCCAGTATTTGAGCATTTCACACCCACCTTTGTGACAGAAGGATTAGAGTGTGATGCTTTAGATACACGAATTAAGAAGTACTGTATTGAGGGAACAGTATTTGATCCAGGTTATTAGAAGTATTGATAGGTTAATTTGAGACTTTTACTGCATGTAGGTGCAAATGTTGTCAGTATTTATATTTATATAATTCAACATTATGTTTATTTAACGGTCATGTCTAAGAAACATGACAGCCTTAGTCAGTAAGACTACAAGATTGCGCCACTTATCCTACACTCATCTTCTTCATACTTGGCTTAAAATACCTAGCTTCGTATGGTTGTCATTTTAGTTTTCAGTATTTAAGTTTTATTTGAGCATCCCTCCTTTGTAACCCTCCTTTGTAACAGCAAGATTAGAGTGCATTACCTTAGAAACGTTAATTATAAATTGACAGGTTCATTGGAGGGCTTGACTGTCCCCAGTGTGTGTGGTGACAGCTGTTAAGCATTTGTCATCCTATTCTAAATAGAGGGATTAGAGTGGTGATTATTGACAAGATATAATACCCCCACTGACAAGATATGATATTTATTCCTAAACATTAGATTTAACGAGTGCTTAGGTTTGCTGCAACGTTGAAGGTAAAATATGTTTTAACCCAATATCAACAGTAAAGGTTAAAATAAAGAAATTTTCAAACAACCAAGCGACCAAGCGAACTACAATAAGTTTCTATAGGTGTAAAAGAAAACCACAAACGCTTAGGATTATTTATTTTTATTTTTACAAATTAGTACAGAAAGATATTGTAAAACATAATGTTTTGGGGGTCGAAAAAGAGAATATACTCCTATAGAGATAAAAGTAACGTTCGCACATTTGATGAAAAGCTATTTAAAACTTTCTCCGTAACATTGAATTGTACTACAACGCTTTATGTACAAAATTATTTAATTTTAAGCTGAACACGATGTTGGTAAAGACAATAAATGTATAAAAATTTGAACAAATAAAGTTTTTGCCCTCTGCGAACATCAAAACGAACAAGTATCCTAGGGGTCCTGGGTCCTAGGTAATACCGTGCCACCTACGGTTAAAACTACTTTCATCCCCTTAAATATCGACAACATTCACACTGGGGGACATAAAAATCTCTAATGAACGTGTCAATACTTCACTGTCTAGCACATGTCTCACTACGTCACATCTGTAAACCACTGTTGGACAGAAAGATGACAGATGCTCAAATACCGTCATATTCACACTGGCAGACAGTAAAAGCCTTCAATGAAAGTGTCAATCCTTCAATGTCTAGCACGCTAACACATTTGTCAAATTGTCACAACCCTATTCATTCAGCTACAGACATGCATGTCAAGTGCTCAAAAGACTTGTAACACTCGAATGTGGAAGCAATAAACATCTGTAATGAATCTTTCAATATTTTACGTGTTAGTAGCGAATAGTTAGGCTAATTATAGAGAATAGTTGAAATTATATTGTACATCTTTCAACTTTCTATTTAACATTGATTACAGAGGTGGCATTTGACAAAATTTGTTTAGCCAGTTAAATATCGACAGGTTAAATGACGGCTTTTGCTGTATTGTTGACAGTCTCATAAGTACAGTCTCATTCATCTCCTTAACCAAGGGAATAAGGATTTGACAGTTTGACAAATGTGTTAGACAGTGAAATATCGACAGGTTAAATGACGGCTTTTGCTGTATGTTGACAGTCTCATAAGTACAGTCTCATTTATCTCCTTAACCAAGGGAATAAGGATGTGACAGTTTGACAAATGTGTTAGTCAGTGAAATATTGACAGGTTAAATGACGGCTTTTGCTGTATGTTGACAGTCTCATAAGTACAGTCTCATTAATCTCCCTGACCGAGGGAATGATTGTGCCAATTTGACAAATGTCTGCATTCATGACAAATTACAGAGAAGTATTGACAGGTTAATCACAGGTTTATACTGACTTTCAACGTGGGTGTTGGCAATCTCTTAAGATCTTTAGAAATCGTCTTCAATTTTTGTAACTGAGAAGGTAAAGGATCATATCGAGGGATTTGTTAAAAGTGGGTTATTGACGGTCAAAGGAATAAATTTTACTTGTAAGTTAAAACCCGACGTTTCTTATTTTATTTGCTTTTAGTGAATTTCCCATATATACACTATTATTGTAGGTAAGATATGGTCCCAGGACTGATTTACGTTTTAAGGACTCCAGAGGCGAAAAAAGCATTAGTTCAAATTCCTATCTTTAAATGTGTGTCCCTTAACACGATGATTTAAGCAAAAAAAATCCAATTTTGATGAGATTTGGTATATACCTGTAAACCTACATTTATTTGAACGAATTTGGGAACCGATATAATAGGACTATCGGAACTGTGGTACTTTGGCGCTTTTATGAGGTAAAAATGGATCTATCTCCCTTTTGAGAAAGACATAATTTAAAAACGTAAAATTTCTTTCTATGCAGTTTTGTAGAGCTTAAGAAAATAAATATTTTGGTATGTTGAAGAGTTGAAAAATTTAAAATCCCCATGTTTTTATAGAGAATAGTTTCAACTGTTGTAGTTTGCTTGTTTTTGGACATATTTTGTTAACATTTTGAAAAATTATTTATTTTATGCTGAAATACAAACATTTCCCTTTAGAAGCAAACCTATAGGGAATAAATATGATATTTTAAGGAAATTCTTTTATAAAAATCCAATAGGGCAAATAGATATTTGCTTAGTAGGCAGGTTTGCTGTGGCGAGGGTATTTGTATTTTTACTCGTAGCATTAATGTAGTACCATTTACATACATAATATTGTGTAATTTACGTTAAAACTGATTAAAGGTTTTTAAATATTTCTTTTAAATAACATAGGTCTAAATATGTTTGCTATTATCAATCCAATAGACTTAACACTGCATATAAAATTCCTAGTTACACGTTTTAATATATATTTTTTCAGAGTGTTTTGCTTGAATTAGTTTTAGCGAATTTCCCTATAGGGAAGTAGCTATTACCGTAGGTCTCATGGTAACACCAAAGCCCGGGACCGATTTACTTTTTCATTTTGATGTCCCCAGAGGCCAAAAACACCATTCGTTCAAATATATATATATATATATATATATATATGTCCATCCGCACGATAACTTGAGTAATTTTTGTCCGATTTTGATCAAATTTGGTTTTGAAGGTGTAAGGCGGGATAAACTTGAATGAGTTCGCGAACCAGCATGATCGAACTATGGGAACGGGGGTTTATGGGGTAAAAATAGGGTTTTCCTATTTTTGACCCTAAAAACAAAAAATTTCTCAATTTCTTTTCAAACCATTTTGTAGAGCTTAAAAAAACAAATAATTTTGTATATTGATGCGTTATTATGCGCCTAATTGTTACGGAGAAAATTCAAAAAAAAATTTATTTTAAAATTCCCTTGGAAAATACTTTTATTTCTTACTAAACTATTATCATTTTATAAAAAAAATCTTTTTTGAGCGGAGCGAGCGAAGCTCTTATACGTCGACTCTTATGCATTTCGTAATACGCAAACTCCTCCTAGACGGATGAATCAATCGTTTTCAAATTTTGCATGGTGATAGAGACCATATCGGTGAGTGCCAACATCTATATGGCGTTAAAAAAGTCTCTCAGGAATCCGCCCCACTGGGTCTCAAAGTTTCAATGTAATCCTTATGGAAGCAGTATTTGACACATAAACAAAAACATATGATCAGCTGTTGACTTTTGAATGCAGTAGATAAAGAAATAGCTGATAGCATTAATCCACAGATATTAGAACAGAAACGGTATGGATCATAAAAATAATCAAATGACGACACTAGCTTATGAGGTCCGTGACGTAGGAAGTGGTGAAGGAAGTAGTAAAGGAGAGCAGTCTGGAGTGTGGAAACTGTTTATGACGATTAGATTTAGGTATCTGCATTCCTAAAATTTTATAGGAAAGGAAGGAAAACTGGTCCGCGACGTAGGAAGTGGTAAAGGAAGTAGTCAAGGCGAGCTGTCCAGAGTGTGGGGACTGTTTATAACGATTAGATAAAGGTAATATTAAAGGCATTCCTAAAATTCTGTGGGAAGGGAGGAAAAGGGGTCCGCGACAATCAAACTTACGAAACCACAATTTTTTTGCATAAAACAGGCTGTTTATTAAATTTAAAATAAAAATATTAACTATCTATACATAGAACATCCTGTGCATTAAAATTATGTTCCACTTAATCTTTTATTTTATATCCATCAATTTCAACAAAA